GTAATCCTTTTTATATGTCTTTGTTTTATAAAAATGTCGTGCATTTACTCCTAATTGGGATCATTAAAAACAAAGTCTTCGTACCTTATAATTAAGATACCTAGAGCTCAGAACAGTCGCAGTCGTCATACATTTAGCCGCGCTACGTTTATGTACAGTTATATTTTTATTATCTGCTCCTAATGCAGGAATTAGATAGCGTGAATAGGAAAGTGGTAATTAGCGACTTCTTAATGTCGAAATTAATGACATATTTTAGCATTTATCAAAGAATAAGCTAGTCTATTAACCCAATTTATGTTTTTGTTGCTTTTTCATTCTTATTAAGGAAATGCTTACAAGTTTTATCTTTTTATTTGTATATTAAGGAACATGTTTTTGCTATAGGTTTATATAAAAGTACAAAATTATACAGTTGTGTAGTAAATGAAGCAGTTAACTCGTATATCATACAAAGTAGTTGAAAAACAAATGATAAAAAAGCAATCACAATAAAAAAAAACGATAAAAGTAATTAAGTTAATGGAAAATTTTTTTTTATTGTCCACGAATTTCGTTCCATATGACAAATGAAATCTATATAATCTCTATATTCATAGGTGCGAACGCTTCTTCTTATGTTCTATGTTTTATGAGTCAGATTGGGGTGCTAGTCCCTCTGATATCGGTTTGTTCCAATTTTTTTTCTAGAGTTATGGTATAGTAAAAAATATTTACAATTTACAAAAAGAAGAGGGTCTATTTATAAACCCTCAACCAATATTTAGTATTTTTATAAAAATAATGTGGATACGTAATATTGACAATTTAGTTTTCTATATTACAGTAATTTAATGTCTGCAGCATATATTATAGTAGTATATGCTGCAGAAACATTTACATTAACAGCAAGAAAAGAAGAGCAATTAAAAATTTTTCAGAGGAAGATTATCAGAAAAATAATGGGGACCAAAGAGGAAAAACAAAGAGGATGTAAAACAATGGACGAATCACGAAATACAAGATTCGATGGGTCAAGAGAACATAGTTAGTGCAATACAAGCACAAAAAATTAGATAGTATGCGCACATAATGAGAAGAGAGAAGAGCAATCCGTTAAGAGTTACAATGGAATGGATACCAGCAGGTAAACAAACCAGGGGCAGAGATAGAGACAACACGTGGAACAAGACTTAGGAGTATGGATATTAGAAATATAGAAAGGACAATCAAAGAAAGAGAAGAATGGAGAATGAAGAATGGGAACTGTATAACCAAACCCAGAATGGGATGATCCAAAAAAAAGGATCTTTTGGAATGAATTTTGAATTTTGAAATGTATCGTAGATATTTTATAGCATACTTATGCAAGCTGTATAGGCTCTATAGTTTTCAGACTGTGTCCTCCTTTTTTTTTAAGTACGTGCCTCTTTATTACTGCGTTTTTGCAACAATGCAACAGCAATGGAAATGCACTAGTAAAATGGGCGGAGGACGAACATCTATCACTAAAGTTTGACGCCAAAGACCGACCTACATTCATGTCAGCAGCATGGAAGAAGGAGTACAATCCTGACCTATGTTTTGTCTCTACTAATAAAAACGGGCAACCTCTATCAGTCTCTCGAAAAGTAATGGACGACTTCCCACACAGCTAATACCGCCCAGTAATCTTAGAGGCGGGAATCCAGATTCCTATAATCACATCCATCCCTCGTCCAAGTTGGAATCTAAAAAAAGCCATTTGGGGTAGCTTTTCTGCGGAACTGGACAAGACTCTAGGCTGGATACCCCCTACCATCAGAAATTACAAAAGATTCGTTGGAGCCGTAATAAGCACGGCCAAAAATCATATATCAAGAGGATACAGAAAAGAATACATTCCTGGTTGGTCCCATAACAGCGAAGAATTGTACCAAAATTTCTTTGAAAGCGGCGATCAAGAATTAGCCGATGAACTGTTCCATAGCCTAGATGCAGCGGGACAACAAAAATGGACGGAAACTATAGAAAGTCTTAATTTTCAAACATCAACTAGGTAAGCATGGACACCACTAAGAAAATTAGGAACCGGTACTCTCATAACTTCTTCTTCTTCTGTTCCTATCCGTTTCGGATGTTGGAAATCATATTGGCAATCATAACCTTGCTCGCTGCGGCTCGAAACAGCTCCGTTGAGGTTTTCTTAAACCATGTTCTTAAATTCCGCAGCCATGATATTCTCCTTCTACCGGCTCCTCGCTTACCTTTGACTTGACCTTGCAATATAGACTGTAGCAGGGAGTAACGGTGCTGATTTCTCATAACATGTCCCAGATATTGCAATTTTATGCGTTTGATCGTAAACACAATCTCTGGTTCCTTCTTCATTTTTCCTAGAACTTCCTTGTTCGTGATCCTAGCTGTCCACGATATTCTCAGCATTCTTCTATAAAGCCACATCTCAAATGCTTCAAGTTTTTTAATAGTGGTGTCTGTAAGCGTCCATGCCTCCGCCCCGTACAACAACACAGAAAAAACATAGCATCTCAAATGTCTCATTTTTGTATCAAGGGATATGTTGTGACTTTTGAAGATGGCGCTCATTTTGTTAAAGACCGTTCTTGCCTTTCCTATGCGGCACTTTATTTCCTGTAAATTGCTCCACTGTTCGTTAATAATAGTTCCCAGGTAACAATACTGTTTTACTCGCTCTATCTGCGTCCCATTAATGTATAGATGAGCCCCGTTTATATTCTCCTTGCTGATAATCATTTGTTTCGTTTTGTGGGTATTAATGTTTAGTCCGTACTGTTGACTGTACCCGTTAAAAATTTTCTCTGAGTACATATTAAATATCAACGGCGATAGGATACATCCCTGTCTAACTCCACGTAGTATTTTTATGTGATCTGTTTCTTCTCCGTTAATTTTCATGTATGCGGTCTGATTCCAGTAGAGTTCTGAAATTATTCTGAGGTCTTTCTCATCCAGGTCTGCCTCTTTTAAAATAACAAGGAACAAAATAACAATTAACACATCTGGTATCAACATCTAGTCGAATCTGCAATGGAGTATAGGAATTTATTTTGTTATTCTATATGGTCGTATTCTTTTGTGTTCACGATCTAGTCTTCTGTAAAACAAAATCCATTCCAAATATTTAAAAGCATAAATATAATTTAAAAAAATATCTATACATATATTTTATTAATGGCCGTTCTTATTCTTCCATTCTCTTGAATATTTTATCTATTGTATAGTTTGACAACTTATTTATAAATTACCATTTCTTTCTAAAAAAAAAAATAAAAACAGTTTCGCTCTCTTCCGGGTGAAAGTCGATAAATGGTCGTAGGCCCATTAAGCACAATAATTCTAATGTCTCGCCTTGTTGAACTTTTGCCTTGTCGGGTCAGTCGGATCAAACTGCCTGAGAGAAATTTTGATGCATGTCGCATTGTCTAAGACGTATTTATTACTTATTTTTATCTTTCTTTTGTGAGATAACGTTTTATTGTTGAAAAGTACAGATGGAATGCTACAAAAACCTTGATTGCTTTAAGAGTAATACTTGGTGATAAGTTATCTTCTGAGGAAGGAAATTAGTTTTGTGGGTCAGTATTTCTTTCACGAATAAAATCGATATTTATATTTAAAGCCCAACACTAAACATAATTCAACTCAAAATCTAAATTTATGACTAAATAAATGACCAGTTTTTCGTTTGTGTGCATTTGTTTATATATTATACAAGGACTACTCACGAAAAATAACAGAAGACAAATATGGATAACGCAAGAGATCATGGACCTCTTTAACGTAAGACGAAAACATAAAAAAACTCATAAAAAATAAAGTCAATAAAACCATTAGAAAAAGTACAGAAAAGCTAAAAAACTGGATGTCAACAAAACGCCTAGAAATTGAACAACTTTAGGAAAGATACGACAGCTTTATGGCCATTAAAAATTGAAAAAAATAATAGGTAGACACAGAAAAAGACAAGAAACGATATTAAGAAATAATAATGAAACAAGTACAGAAGACAAACTGACTAAATAGAAAGAATACATTCAGAAACTTTTTGACGACGATGCATGATCAAAAAGAGGAAAATAAAATACTTGAATCATGTGCTGAGAGGTGAAAGATATGAATTGCCCAGAATGTGTTACCGTTGTGTATCTAAGATTATTCAGAAGTGCTCCGTTAGTAAATATGCCTTCATTTTTGTCTTCTAATGCCTCTTTAGTCTTGCAATTTTGCTCAATGATAGATGGTTTTTTATAATTAATAAAATTCACAATAATTGTTATACTTCTTTCAATTTATGTTATTCTTATATGTTCAGTTAATTTAGGAGCAAAACTTTTTTCTAACAAATCGATTTTTATAAAACTTTTCGAAATGACAAATTCTATTTCAGTTACATAAACATTGTAATCTTAAGATTCTTAATAGATTCAAGGCATCGAACAGACATAATAAACTACAGAAGGTATAAAGGCGCAAAACATATACTCAGATCATTGTCTGGTAATCTCAATATTGAGGGCTAGATTTCAAACACCAGTAAAGAAAATAAAATGGATACAAAAAAATGGATTGTGCAAAAGCTGTAGACTGATGACAGAATTGCAGAAGACAAAGACAATTACAGAACGAACATCACCAATAGGCTAAGGAATCAAAATGTAACTGAAGAATGCCAGACAGATATAGACTCCTACTGGACCAGAATAAAGAAAAACATTGAAGCAGTAGCGAAAGAGGAAATAGGAACAGGAACTTTTGCTCGTAAAAATCATTGGTTTGACGATGAATGCAAAAATGCAATCAAAGAAAAAATGGAGCCAACAAAAAGATGCTTACCCAAAAAACTAGTAAAACTATTGAGAATTACCAGACAAAGAGAAGAGAAGAAAAGAGAATACATAAAAGAAAAAAAAATGAAATCAACCTCAACAGAGAGAAAAAGTTCAGAGAATTCTATAAAAAAGTTAGCAATATTCTTTTTTGTTGTTTCTCAAATAACTTACATCCTTTAGTAGGTATGACAATCATATTCTGATTTTTATCGTCACCATCGGCCCTATCCTCCCTCTCTCCTTTTTCCTTGGCAGCTTTCACTTCGAAGGAATAAGTCGTGGCCATCCTCAGACCTTTTATATCAGTATTAAATATCTTCATGTTTTCTTCTTTGTCCAGAACGTTCTCCGAGATGTCCGGTATGTTTTGGACTTTACATCTTTGAGTACCCCACGTTTGTAGCTCGCAGTACCGCACGTTGAAACCGTTTGGGATCGTTTTGGAGGAATCTACTTCCCAGTGGAGGCGCACCTGCCTGTAGTCAGGTTCACCCATTAAATTCTTTATATCTGGAAAGAAAAAAACAGAATTAGTTAATTTGATTAAGAATTAAACTATAAAATTTAACTTAATTAACTTTATATTTAACAAGCATCTTTCATACACTAAAGAATTCTGATGTTTTATTAACCAGCAGCATACAGCACTGTTTGGAGTAAAGTAAGGATAAACAACTCCTTCGGAAATGTCCTAAACTTATAACATAGATTTTGTTGTTTTTATTTAAACCCGCATCAACCACTAAAGGTTATTAGCGAGAGGACATACACAAACAGTAAGATACATATTGTTACATAAAAAAATATTTTTTACAATTTGGTATATAGTTTAGTCATTTTAAGATAACTTAATAAAGACTGTCAGTTTGACGTTAGTAGAATTTTTAAATTGACACTAAGGGCACACGCCATTCTTTCGTTCTGGTACACTGGACACTCGACAATTAAATGTTTCACTGAAAACGGAATGTTCCACTTGGTACACATCGATGCAGCCTCCTGGTTGAACATACGCTTGTGGGTAAGGAAAGTATGTCCTATTCGGAGTCGGTTGATGATGACTTGGTCTTTTCTATTAATTGGTAAGAGTTTGGTTCCTACTTAACTTGGACATTCCTTGAGTTTGTTGGCAGTGTGATCTCAAGTAGTTTGCCACGCTCTATACATGTGGGCTTTGATATTTATTTTGTGAGCAGTCCAAGGCATTTGATTTATGATAGCAATACTTTGGTCGGTTGTTGCATCGCTTGACAGAGAGTCTATTTCCTCATTACCACTTATTTCCATATGGGAAGCTACCCAGATGAAGGAAATATCTTTTTGTTGAGTCTGTACATAATTTTTCTTTGATCTTGAGAAGTATGGCGTGAGTTGTATATAGCCTTTTTACTCAAAGTAATGCGTTCATTAAATCGGTGATGATAAAAAAGATCGGATGATATATTTGTTCTGCAAAGTATTGTTGAGTAGGTTAAATTCCTGTTGTTTGCTAAAATTGCAGAGCTTTTAAGCTACTTACTGGACTAGTTCTTGTGGCACCTAAAATTACTCTCAAACATATATTTTAAGTGTAGTCAAGTTTTTTTAAAGATGTTTTGTTAGCAGTATCGTAGCATAAACAGCCGTAGTCTAGTTCACTTTCTATTAGTGATCTGTATAGAGTAAATAAGGTTGTTGTATCTGCCCCCAAGAGGTATTTGACGGCATTTTTAGTAAATCAATTCCGGATTGGCCATCCAGTGGTTGGCTGGTTATTGGATTGGATATTGGCTGGAGTGGTTATTGGATTAATAACCACGTTGCAGATTGGTTATGCAGCTTTCCCAGTATAAGTTACGTTCAAAAAAAAAGTCATAAGAAATTTATTTCTTCTGCGTGTTTAAGGACAACTCCATTTACTGTTAATTGAACATTAGAATAATTTTTTCTTTTGCTAAAAATTAAATAACGTGTCTTCTCACTAGAGAATATAAAACCCGTGTTTTGCGACCAGCTTTCAATTGTGTGTAAGGCAGTTTGCCGTATATGTGTTCCCAGAGTTACGTTGTTTTGTTTTTTAGATAAATGACTAAGTCATCTGCATATAGGCTAGTGAATACAGGTAGTCTGGAAGATGTAAATCTATTGGTTCTGACCCGAAAAGTTTGTGTTTCTAGAAAATTTTTAATAAAGGATAATATATGCCCTTGAATTAACCTCTTAACCAACACAATTATAATTGCCAGAATGATTTCCAATCTCGCATAGGAGTGGAACTTGAAGAAGAAGAAGATGCCCTTGAACATTCCATTCTTAAAGAGTTTTTAGTATAAGATGTTTTCATGTTGTGTCGAACGCTTTTCTTATGTCAAAAAATACTGCAATAAGTTTTTGGCTGTGCAGAAAGGATTCATACCGTTACGAAATCCACTTTGTTTGATACTTATTAGGTTATTGTTTTCGAGGTGCCATTTAAGACGATAATTAAGAATTTTTTCTTAAATTTTGCAGGTACAACACGTAAGTGATATTAGACTTATAGTTGTTTGCGACCATACATCAGGAAATTCATGGTAAATAAAAATATTGTTAAAAATATCAACTAATATTAGTTTTAACAATCAAAAGACTGATATTTTTTGTACACACTTATGACAAGTCGAAAGAAAATGCAAAAAAGTATTTTTGAAGTGTGTATATTTTAGGCAATTCCTAGCTGAGCGCTTTCGGCTTTACAAAGCCATCATCAGAGCTATGCTACAATAAAATGTTCTAGTAAGTACTAATTGGTAAAGATTGTAATTTTAACTTACGTCAATTTTTAAATACCACTACAAAGAAGAGATCTCATTTCCTTAAGTTTCAAAATTATGATTTTTTGTAGGAGTTGGAATTCTTAAAACATATAAAAAACATATAAAAAGTCGACACTGGACTTCACAAACACATTAAAAAATTGAAAAAATTTTTGTCATGGTACGGGTTTAAGACCCGACCATCTATTGATGTGAGGACGTAGACTGAATAGAACTAGTGAAATCAAATGTCGGTCCTTTTAAACGATTTTTCAAAAGTGACAGGTGACAAATGTCATATATAGGAAATAGAGATTGTTTTTTAAATTCTTACAAAATTATTTAGTAGTTTGGAATTACTACTAGTCAACAAAGACTTTCTAAAAATTAGATTTAATTTTTAGAAATTAGAATTAGAATTAGAGATTAGAATTAGATTTAGAGATTAGAATTAGAAAAAATTCTAAAAATTTTTAGAAAGTCTTTGTTGACTAGTAGTAATTCCAAACTACTAAATAATTTTGTAAGAATTTAAAAAACAATCTCTATTTCCTATATATGACATTTGTCATCTGTCACTTTTGAAAAATCGTTTAAAAGGACCGACATTTGATTTCACTAGTTCTATTCAGTCTACGTCCTCACATCAATAGATGGTCGGGTCTTAAAACCCGTACCATGACAAAAATTTTTTCAATTTTTTAATGTGTTTGTGAAGTCCAGTGTCGACTTTTTATATGTTTTTTATATGTTTTAAGAATTCCAACTCCTACAAAAAATCATAATTTTGAAACTTAAGGAAATGAGATCTCTTCTTTGTAGTGGTATTTAAAAATTGACGTAAGTTAAAATTACAATCTTTACCAATTAGTACTTACTAGAACATTTTATTGTAGCATAGCTCTGATGATGGCTTTGTAAAGCCGAAAGCGCTCAGCTAGGAATTGCCTAAAATATACACACTTCAAAAATACTTTTTTGCATTTTCTTTCGAAATATTAGTTTTGCATTCAGAAGAAGATTTCGTAAGAAAAGAGGGTATATATCGTCAGGTCTTGGACTCGAATTTTTAGCACTTAAACAAAATTTTAATTCTTAAAGACTTACTGGTTTTTTCTCTTACTGGTTCTTTTTTTTGTGATATATTGTATACAGCCAGCTACAGGAACTTAGTTTCCTCGTGGAAACTTACTGGTTTGTTTTATTGGATTGCTGCTCTCTGTGATTTGTATATTTAAAGACTCCGTTAGTTTTTTGTGCTCTAGGAAGGATAGGCTGTAATTGGAGTCACTAGAATTAAGTTCATTTATATCTGCTAGTATTTCTGGTTACCAGTTCCTTCAACTTATAATCGAGGGTAAAATTGAAGGCAAGAGAGGAATGGGACGCAAGAAAATGTCCTGGCTCCGAAACATAAGGCAATGGACAGGGATTAAACGACATACAATCTCTGATACATGCAAGAAATAGAGAATTAATGGAAAATGTGATCGCTAACATCCATTAGTGGATTTGCATCTGAAGAAGAAGAAGTATTTCTGGAATATTTTCTTTATTTAAATGCATTTGGTTATTGTATGATAGAGTATCTATACCTCGGAAGTATTTTGTCCATTTTATTCTGCGGACTTTGTTCCATATGTTGCCTAAGGGAGTGGAAGGATTTATTGAAGAAACGTACTTTTTCCAACTTTCCCGTTTTGCTTTTTTGATTAATTGTCTGCTTTGAGCCCTTTGAGATTTTTAAACCTTAAAAGGTTTTCGGTAGTTTTATGTTTCTTGTAGACAATGATTCTTGTTATTAAATATTTCAAGATTTTGGTTTGCGTTATTGGTTAAATTAGACTTGTTTGTTTGTTCTTCTATTAGTGTTCAATATTTTATAAATTCAAGTCAGCTGACTTTATTTTCTATGTCAGGTGAATTGGAGAAGTTGATTTATCATTAGTGTTTATGGTTATCGTGATAGGGAAATGATCACTATCATATAAATACCCTTATGTGTCCCAGTATAATAAAGGAGCTAGCGACGGACTGCATAAAAAGAGATCTATGGCAGAAAATGTACCATTGTAGTACAACTGAACATAGTAGATTGGCCAGAGTTTAGTAAAACTAAATTTAAATTATCAATGAGATTATTTAAGAGATTGCCACATTTGTCGGTTTTGTTACTTTCCCAAGTACTATTGTGACAGTTGAAATCGCCTAATATTATTTTTGGGTGTGGAATTTGGTTTAAAGCATTGCTTAGTTCAGTTATATCTAAATCAGTAGGATAAAGTATAGAGATTTATATAATAATTTAATTAAAATTATTTTAAAGTTTTAAAGTTTAAGTATGACCCGTCGCATAATATATAACATGCAGATATATTCAAGACAATAACAAGAAAGTTTGAGCAACATTAAGCGCTAACAACCAAACAAAATATGTAAAAAATGAAGAAATTCTATCTAAAATTGAACTTTAATATATGTATTTACCGTCTTATTTTGTCGATTTAATGTACAATGAACTTAAATTTTTTTTCTAGCTCGATTACAGTCGATATTTCACAGAAATTTACGTTTATATTGATTTACGTTTAACCAACACAGGTGTAGGAAAAAACTGCCCCGTAAAAAGAATTTGGAAAACCCAAATTGATTCCGGGACTGTTTAAACATTAGAAACCCATTATGCATCTCGATCCTCAACTTGTTTAATGCGATTAGATCCAGCCACTTGTGGTT